TTCCTAACATTCCAGTGATTCTGCTTAAAATGCTTTCTTTGGCCTACTTCTTCTTTCTCTTCTATAACTAGGATAACTCATTTCAATCCTTTAAGGCTCTGTTGAGGTGTCCTTCAAGACACAGAACAACTGTCACCTCCTCTCGAAAAACTTTCTCTCGAGCTACCTATTTCTAACGGAGCTAAATGGTCTTCCTTTATATTTATTTAAGTATAATTTTTTAGAAAAATCTTTCTTCCATTAGACATTCAGCTCCTTGCTAAAAGAAACTATATATTTTCATATCTATATCTAATTCTGGTATGGACTTTGGTAAATGTTTGATTAATTTTGCATGGCAAGATATATTAAAACCCATAAACATATACCAATCTTTTGAGAAAGAATATTTGTACTTCTGGGAAATCTTCCAATCATTTGATAAGAATCAAAATTAGACAAAAGATATGCACAAATGTTCACATCAGAATTAGTTATGGTAGCAAAAAATGGAAAAAAAAACAGGAATAGAAGAATGGTAGAATCTGCTGAATGATATGTAGCACAGCAATATAAATGAAGATTGTGAAAATGATGTAATTCAAATATTTGCTAGGTGAAATGAAAAAAAGGTTAAGAAAATTACGTCATACTATGATTCTACAAAATTAAATGAATAGACATTTACTAAAAGGGAACATGAAAAATGTATGGATTGTTATTTCCTTTACTCAGAACTTTATATATTGTTGATATATCATCTTAATTGCAATTAAAATAATTAAAAATTAGCCTGGTACACTAACAAACACCTGTAATCCCAGTGACTTGGGAGGCTGAGACAGGAGGATCACAAGTTTAAGGCCAACCTTGCAACTTAGTGATACTCTGTCTCAAAATGAATTTTTGTTTAAAAGGGATAGGATGTAGCTCAGTGGTAGATAACCTTGCCTTCAATCCCTGTACCACAAGTAAATTAATTAATTAATTTAATCTGTGTCATGAACTAATTATATGTACTTGTATATGTATATTTGTATGCATGTACACATATATGTATATATTTTTAGATCTGTGTCCCAAAAGGTCCAAGAAGCAAAGACACCTCAGTATAGCAATGAACCCACCTAGTTCTGGTCCCTAATATTATTTTCCACTAACAGGAAACAGAACTCCTTAGAAAAAAGGCTAATTCTAGGACCAAGGTAGGATAAGTATAAGATAAATGTAGAATATTTTTTAATACCAGAAAGTAAGGAAGTGCTCTAAAAAATGGTGTGGACATGCCAAAAAGTCAAAGGAGAAAGAACTACTAGCTAAATCTAAGAAAACTTGAACATCAAAATAACTAAACACCAGTTATATTAGAATGAAAGACCATGATATAGGTATCTTACCCTCAAGTGGCTCAAAAACATTTTTTGATGTTATATCCCTATACTCGTCAAAATCTTCCATTATATTTAGTATGCATTTATATTTAGCTGAGGCTGGCTTTGAACTTGTGATCCTCCTGTCTCAGTCTCCTGAGCCACTAGGATTATAGGCTTGGGCCATGCAGCCAGCTCAAAAAATTTTTGTACATAAATATGCACATATAAACAGAGATGGCACAAACAAGAATAAGCAAACACAGAAATGGGAAGACACAGGAATTCATAAGTTCATGTAGATAATAAGTAGGTAAATAAATAAATAAATAAGAACTCTACTTGCAATAGAATGTCATGGGCTGTAAATGAGGAGGCAATACTAAAATTTGCTCAGTTATTTTGTAACCATAATGGTAAAATTATATCAGCAATAATGGATGCTAAATATTATGGAAGATTTTGATGAGGATCAGGATATAACATCACAAATCTCTCCCACAAATTGCTTACTTACTGCCAGTAAGTAAAAAAAAAAAAAACAAGTAACTACACAATGAAAAATTCAAATCCCATACTGATGAAGTGATCAAAATTAAGATCATCACTGAAAGTCAGATGGATATCATGTGGTTCCAAATGTGATACTCAGAGGAGGCAATATTACCTATGCAATAGTCCAGATGAGAATGCATAATCTCAATCCAGTCATGAGGAAACATCAAACACAAAATGAGGAACATTCAACTAAAAGAGAGTAGAGGGAGAAGCTGAATATTAAGTTAAATGTGCTAAATAAGTTAATTTTCTTCAAATATGTCAAAGTCATAAAAGACAATGAATCAAAAGATGAAAGTTTCATAAAGAAAAGGAGGCTAAAGAGATATGACCACTGGTGCAGAACCTGACATAAGACTGGATCCGGTAAAGGAGGGGGATATGCTATAAAGGATCAACTTATCAAATTTGAATATGGATAATAAAGTATTGTTTCAGTGTAAATTTATGAAAGGGTGAGGGGCCAGAATCTTATAGCCTAATGGAAAATGGTTGAGGAAAAAATGTGATATAAAATTACATATATATGAAAAGAAAGAACTCACCCATGTATAAAAGCAAGCAAATTATATAGATTTTTTAAACTATTTTTATTTTTGGAAATTTTTTGAAAATTTGAAATTATTACCAATGTAAAACGTTCAAAAAATGAGTCTACTTCAGAGAAACAAGACCAACATGAAAGTAAAAGGAACTTTAAAAATTCTGCTAAACAGATTGTTTTCAAAATGCTCACTAGTATGTATTGTTTTCAAGTTATTTTTCAGAATGTTTTCTTCTTTTAATTTTTTTATTTTTTATTTATATAAATAAAAAATATGACTGTTTTCTTCTTTTAAGGGTATCCATTTTTTTAAAAAAAATGAACAGACTGGGCTGGGGTTGTGGTTAAGTGATACAGTGCTTGCCTAGCATGCATGAGGCATTGGGTTCAATCCTCAGCACCACATAAAAATAAAATAAAGATATTATATCCACCTAAAACTAAAAAATAAATATTAAAAAAATGAACAGACCTACAGCTTTCACAGTTTTATTCAAATACATTAATATGTTGAAGCTAACATTCCATCAGTTGTATTCTACTTATTAGAAAATAGTAGGGAGTCCCTACTCCAGAAATTGAAGACTTCTATTCTCCACACTACCCATATTTACCATTCATTTGCTGGTGTTTGCAATCCAGTTTGCAGAATTAAAGCCCAGATTTTAAACTATGACTTCAGTTCTTATGACAAGAAGCATATGCAGAGACACAAACTGGGAGGGCAGAAAGGGGTAGAGAAGAGATGATTGATTAACTCTTATTGTATTGAAGAAAGAATGCTGAAAACTTAAGCTTACAGAGTTCTTTCTTCTCATAAAGTATATGATTTTTTGGAGTTTTAAAATTCTGGGCAGATAATCTTTACTAATTTCTTACCCATGAGTTTAATAGTCTGAAGTAAAAGGCTCCCCCCTCCCTTTTTTTTCCCCCCATGAGATTTAACTCAGGAATTTGCACCCCCTTGTGGTCAAACATAAAATTCTTAGCTTTGGAAAGATCTTTTTTTTTTTTTCCCCCCAGTTGGACTTTTTGTTCAAGCACAGGAATTGTTGCTTTTGTTTCCTCCTATTTTAGCAAATCAAGAAGCTTTAGTGGAAGATTTCTGGTTTATTAAATAATATTTTAAACACAATGAGACTTAAATATGAAAGTCACCTCTACAAAAGGTGCAAAATGGAGATTCAAACTCGGGAAGTTTGGCTTCAGATTTGATCCTCTTAAATAGTTCATAAAAGTGTCAGAGAGATAAGACAAATATACTCTGCCATGTTAATTGTTGATAATTTGAAAATGCTAAAAGCCATTTCTTTTTCCAAATATACCTCAATAATACAAACCATGCTAGCCTTCTCCCATTTCCTTACTTCTTTGTACTTCAGGTAGTCATACTCATTCTCTTATTCAACCCTGACAATAATGGGATATGTGTTTTTGTACTCAGTTATAGTTCATCTCGAATTGTCTTATAACAAAAACTGGGACAAAAAAGTTAATATCCCAGATTTTAGACTGCTGGATTCCTTAGAAAATCCATTTTGGGAGCTGGGCACCATGGCCCAGTACTGTAATCTAAGTACTGGGCTAAGTAAGAAGGTCCTAAATTTGAGGCCAACCTGGACGATATGGTAGACCCTGTCTCCAAAAAAAAAAAAAAAAAAAAAAATCAATCCACTTTGTGTTTAAGGAAAAAGTAAGCAATCAACAATAATCTTAAAATACGATCATAAGAACAGTTGGTTTTGTTTCATCTTAACCAGCTTGATGTCAAGTATAACTCTCCCAACAAAATGATTAGATGAGATTTTTTAAGGAAGATATTAAAATATTGACAATTTTAGTATCATTTATTGTCCTATCATAGCGTCCAGTTTTTGAAGATGGACACGGGTTTGCATGAGTCTTTACTTCTACTTAGTTGTAAGACTTTGGGGCAGATTTCTTAATATGAGTGTATGTCATAATCTGCAAAATGATGATAATATCTACTTCATAGGGCTGTTGTAAGTAATAAAGGAGCTTAATCCAGAAAGCGTTTTTTCAGCACAGTGAGGAGTACAGCCAAAACGTGGTGACTTACTACTTTTTTTTTTTTTTTTTTTTTTTTGCGTTGTGTTGCACAACGGGAACCCGTCTCTGCTGGATTCAGTAATTTAACACGCCATTATAAAAACATCATTCTAAATGACATCCAAAGACTGCCCATTCCTATCTCCAAAACAGAACTGAAAGTCTACGGACAAATAAGGTGGTAAGAAAAACTGGATTCGATGAAAATGGCTTAGTAACAAGCACCCTAGGGCGGTGAAGGGCTCTAGCAAACTTAAGTAATCATTAACTCCAGGCTGACACACACACACCACAGGGGACGGAAAACCACGCCTCCTGTGTACTCAGATTGGATCCTACAGTGCTAAGTGGCCCAAGTTCCAGAATCTGACAGACGCGGACTCATCCACGTGTTTGGTACCTGTGCTGCCTCCGGCAGATTATTTAACGTCCCAATAATTGGTTTCCTGGTCTTAACCGAGAATAATAACAGTTCCTACCTCGTGAGGCTGTCCCGAGGCTTAAGTGCAATAGCTCTGATAAAGCTCTGGCGTACAGCAAGAGCTCTACACAGCGGCGGGGCTGTTTTAAGAACACGTGTATCCAACACATGATCTCAAGAGGCACATTCCGTTGTCCGTAGTTTAGCAGGACGTTTTTCTTCTAGCCTAAGCTGTACCCTAATTTGTTTACCTCCAACGGTAGACTGACTGCCTGTCTCCTGACAAGCATCTGTGGACTCTCGGGCCCACAGTCTGTAAGGTCACTCCAGTCCACGGCCGTACAAAGGCGCTGCACGCACGCGCAAGAAAAGCAGCAAGAGAACGGCAGCCGAGGAAGCTAAGTGTGAGCTGCGAACAACTATCCGTCTGCGCATGTACAAGGTGTGTGTAAGGGAGGGGCTGAGGGTAGGAGTTTACGCATGCGCAAATGTCGGGACAACGGGGGGGGGCGGGTAAGAGGTGGTATTGACAGCTGTGGAGGCAGCCCGCGTTCCCGGCATGCCCCGGGGCGGCGGGGTTGGCTCTAACGAATTTGAATGAAGAGCCTCAGCGCTTTCGGCGCCATTTTCGAGTGATGCCTGATCTCATCAATCTAGCGGGAGAGACGGGATAACCTGTCTGAAAGTATAGTGCCACTAGCGCTCCGCCGAAAAACCACTAAAAAAAAAAAAATCACCAAAAATAACTTGGAGCAAAAGACAATCCGCGAAGCTTCGCCAGGGTTGACGCAGTGGGTAAGAACTTGAAGTAGAACGGGACTCGGAAGGTGGCAGTGGTGGGACCGGCAGGCGTTGAGGAGTCCAGGGAGTGGGCGCTGGGTTAACCCTCACTTTAAACGCGAAAAATTCCAGGAGATAGGATTTTGGGTGACTTGGGCGCCTGCGAGTGGGCGGTGGCGGCGGAATGTGGCGGGAGCGCGGTGAGACGGAGCTGGGGGGGAGGGGAGCTGTAGTTTGAGCGGGACCGGGACGGCTGCGGCCGAGCAGCCGCCGCCCAGCCGACCTGTCAGCAAGACCCCCCGCCCGGGGCCGGGGACAGGGCGCCGCGGGGTCTCGGCAGGGCCGCGACTCCTTGACAGGAGGGGACGCGCGCCCCTCCCCCGTTTCCGAACCGAGCCGCCTTTTCTCGTAGTTTTCCCTGTCTGCTGAAGGCCGTCTTCTAACGAGAAACTTGAGTCGACGGAAAATTCAGGACCCAGAGTACGGGTGCCTCCGGTGGGTGGTGGCCCACAGTGCCCCCGCCTAGTCCTCGGCACCCAGCCATGCATGTTGTCGTCTTTTGACGCTTAAACGTGAGGTGCCCTAGGAAGGAGTCAGCCCGGGCCGCGCTCCCCCCGCGCGACGTCCCGGTGCGGTCTTTTTAGAGAGGGGTCGGACTGCCGCGCCCCGAGCTCGCGAGCGGGGCTCCGGGCGGTCGGGGCAGGCTTCGGAGGTGGTAGCGGGCTCCTAGCAAAGATGCTGGGACTTTCGCTTCTGGCTCGGATTTTTGTTATTTACTCTCGCGACGTTGTCCTTCCTCGAGGGGGAGGGGTGTTCGGGGTGAGATGAAAGATGGGGCTGCGAGCTAGCAATTTCCTTCTCCTGACTATTTCCTTCTCTAAGTCGCACTCTTCTTAGAAGACTTTTTCCTTCTCCAGTCCTTGAAACATCCGAAGGGGAAAAAAGCAATCTGTGAAACCATACTGGTATTCTCCGGAAAACTCTTTACCAGGGCAACTTAACGGTAATTTTGCAATCCCCACCTTTTCTTGGGAACTGAGGCGGAGGAGAGAGGGGTTGTTGTTGGTCTTTCCCTTCAGTGTTTTTTCCCCCCTTATCTATTTGTTTTTATCAACCTCTAGTCGACAGCTCTTAAATAAAGCAAGCCATTGACTGCTGTAACTTTAGGTAATACTTTAGAGATAATAACTTCTGTAAAAATTCTATTAGATCTTGAATTCTTTTTCCACAATGAGGCACACTTAGATTAAAATCCCTTTGCTTGTGTGATGTTTTGCGTGTGGGGCGCGCCGCGCACTGGGTTGCAAATATTCTGGAGATGATTTTTGTAGCAGCTATTCAGTAATTTGCAAAGAGGAATAAAACTTCTTGGGAACCGCAGTATCACTTTAGGACCGCCAGCCTAAAGTTTTCCCCTCTGTAATTAATAGAACGATTGATTTCGTATATTTCAATGAAGATTAGGGATCCGCCCTCGCTTAGAACCTTTCCCGATGGAGAATAGGATAGAGCAATGTGATGTTTTTCAAACTGTTTAACGGAGCTCCCCAAACACCCGACTTCTTATCCCCTGATTGGCTGGAAGGAAGCGGGACTGGGGGGTTTGAATATTGAACTCTGGGTTATAATTCTCGACCTACTGAAAAATTATACTTTTAGTTGGAGAACCATGGAAATAGTTACAAAACGTTAAAACGGGGAATTTAAATAAAAATTGGTGATTAACATTTTCTTCTCCCACTAAAGGCTTTCGGGTGGCTCTGAAATGTATATGAAAAGTAAAACTGAAGAGGCTATTTTCGCAAAACTGAATTTCTGCTGACAGAAATTGCAAGACATATATTTGCCCCTGTTTTTTATTGGTTAAAAACTGAGTGAAGGATTTAGGTTTTTGTGGTGTTGGGTTTTTTTTTTCTTTTGATAAAAAAGTTTCATCTTAAACTACTTGTAATTGTTGGATGCAGATGACGAGAGAATGAATCATTTCTTTTATTTTGATGAAAAAACTAATTTTTTAAAAATGCTACATGATCTTTTCCACATTTCCCATAAGAATTGGATATATTTTTTAAACTTTTAACTTCTGTTTTAATATATACATATTTAGCTAATTCAGCCATTGTAGAAGACTTAAATTTTTAATTTACAAGACATTAATGTTTCTTAAGTTAGATAATACAACAGGTAAGTATGTACAGGTGCGTATGTTATTGCATTCCATTGATAAATTCATTACAAAGAAATATATGCAGCAGTGTGGTTGTTTTTTTATTTGGTTGGTTTTCAGTTGATTTTGTTTAATGTTGCTCGAGGCAGCCATCAACATATTTCTATTTATTACCAAACTTGTCATTCCATTTAATTGCATCTTGATAAGAGTTGGTGTGGTTTTTCAAAGAAAAGCAATAAACTCGCTGATAAACAGTTGTAGATGTTTTTAAAGAGAATTTTTAAAAATTTAACAGACATTTATATAATTTTATGAATAGTAGTTGAAATTTATAGTTTGCATTTTCAAAATATGTATTGTTAGAAAATATTAAAATGAAAACATGACAAATCTCTGTAGGACTTTAAATATAATTTACATTAATAAGTGGTGTAGCTGAGTTTACTGATCATACTATTAATAATTCTGATAACTGAATGCATCCATATTCATTACCTTTTTTCAAAGCTGTTTATTTTGGATCATTTCATGAAAATTTCATAAAAAGAATTAATCATCCTCTATAAAATTGGATTTAATGAAATTATAGATGTCATTTCTGTTTTAAATATAATTATATCACCCAGGACTGGTAGGTTTTACTTTTTACTGATTTTTTATTTTAATTTTCATTCAAATATTGTGACTGGTAGAGTGTTTTGGGGAGGTTTTAAAATTCCATCAGTCTGATTAAGTTTAGCCACTTTTTTTTTTAAGTGATTTGGTTTATGGGATTTTGTTTGTTTGTTTTGAGGATGATGAGTGAAGGATTGTTTTGTTTGATTTTAAAATAAGTGATGGATTCTTTTCTTTAAAATACTTAAAGCTTTAGAACACACTAGTGCCTAACTAAAAATCACAGCTTTCGAAGTATTTTCCCTTCTTGTGATGTTAGATAAGAGGAAGATTTTAGTTTTAGATTTATGAACATGAGTTCCAACTGGTATGTATTTTTAATGTTTATATGCAGTTATCCCTTTTTTCTATAAAAAGATAGTTCTGTGAGTGTGCGAGTGTGCGTGCGCTATTTAAGAAATACAAAAATCATTTGTTACCATAGAAAAAAATGATGGAAAATGGTACTTCGACAATAGCTCATCTTTTTTTCAATACTGGATTTACATACTGTGGGGAGAAGGGAACAAGAAAAGGTACCAGCCTTCCTGTTTCATTTATTTGCCATTTATATACTGTTCTTTTAAAAATTCAAGTAAAAGTCTAACTTTAGACTTTTTTTTAATGCTGTTAACTTCTCTTCATTGTGTGTTTACAAAATGTAGCCTCAGGTATTTGTATGTAACACTACATGTTTTCTAATCAGATTAATATCAGTTTTAATGTTTATCAGGATTGACAAGTAAGGATGAAAATTGCAAAGTAGTTGTAATATTTTGGATCCCTTATGTTTGTTTTATGAAGTCTTGGGTATATTTTATTTATTTATTTATTTATTAGTATTTAGTAACTTCATGATGTCACAAAATTCTTCAATCCAAAAATATTGGTCAGTTGATTTTGGTTTACAAAAAGAAAATAATTCCCCAGAAATATTAGGTATTTCTGATATATGACACATAAGCTTTCACCAATTACATTGTAAATTTGTCTCTAATTTTAAAATAGTACTGACCCAAAATGGCTCTTGCTTTTTTTTTTTTCTTTTGTTTAATGACATTTAATTCCCACATTGATTTCTTTTTAACCCCTTTTAGGAGAAACAGGTTATTGGTCTAATTATAACTAGAACACACATCTTAGAAAGAATTGTCAAAATATAGATATAGTTTTGTCTTTTTTTTTTTTTAATTGAGAAAAATTAGGCTTGTGCTTTGCAACTAATTTTGGCTGGCCTATAAGTAGAACTAAAACTTAAGACTTTTTAAAATTTTTTGGCCCCAAATCTCATAAGGCCAGAGGAAATCAGAAATAAAATACTACTGTATTTCAAATAAGTATTGAAAGTGAGATTGAGAATTTAATTTTAAGAATAACAGGTAACAGTTTTAAATGAATTTTAAAGTGGTTGTTTTAATGAAAGTCACAACATTAATTTTAGAATACCATATTACTAATATTTGTGAATATATCACCTGATTGTTTGCTTATATAAATGACTGTGGTAGGATATGGGAAGGGGCTAGGATTTTTTTTTGTTTTTCCTGAATTAGAAATGATTTAAAGGCTCTTCCTTTTAGAAAAAGAAGTTTCAAACATTGGAATCAATATATTAAATACATACATACATATTGGAGTTTTATACTTAATTATTTCGAATTGAGTTATGAGAAATTGAATACACTTTTACTTAATCTGTCATTTGACTAAAGAATGTTTGCATTGAAAAGACTTATAGTTGTTTCTAAATATAAATAATAAGCTGTAATAGATTTGAGCTTTACTATTTGAAGGTTTTTTAATAATCACCTTTTTTTAAAATCACACATTTGGTTCAAAATTTATCTTTATATCCAAACCTCTTTTGTTCCTTATTATCTAGTATTTTTTTTGTTTCACTACTATTTAAAAAGTTATGTTGCAATGTTTAAAATTTAACATTTAGGTTTTTACTATTTTCCTTCTATAATTTCTAAACTTAAGATACCTTAATTTTTAAGAGTACTCAAATATAGAAAACTATCTCTAATACTATGTAGAAATTGCCTCTTACTCATTAAGATTCAGAAAGGTGCAACAAAATGACAAAACTACTTATATACATTGTTACATCTCATTTATACTTGGAAACATTAAAAACTATGTGATCTAGAAGTGGTCCATTTATTATAAATATTTGTTTATTTTTAAATTAAATTCTAAATTTAATCTGTTAAAACTGTAATGTATTGAAATGTTTGGAAATGTTATTATTCGCTCAGGTTTGGCAAAAGACTAAAATTTAACATAATGGCACTTTCAATAATTATTAATACATTTGATGATTTGAGGGAAAAGGTAGTTAACTTTTGTCCCTATGTCTTAGTAATTTTTTAAATTGTGTGGATTTTGAGTTTTAGAAACACAAACTATATTTCTGATATTTTCCTTAAAAAGTCCCCCTTTACCAGTCCTTCACAGATATCTTCATACATAAACTCATTCACACCTCTTTGAAAGTGAATACCCTAAAGAGAAATGAAAACAGAAACATATTAATCTGACTTGTTTGAAGAGGCTTCAGATGATAAAGCATATCACAGGTGTTTATAATCAAGTTATTTCTGTTTTAAAAATATCATTTTTCTGTTGGGACTTCTTTGAACATTGGCAGGATTGGAATCATTTTGAAAACATTACCTTTGTGTTCAGGGATCAGTTGTGGAACTGAAGGAAACAAATCTGTTCAATGTCTTCATGCTATAATACATGACATTTTTATTGCAGGTTTTGACCTTTAGGAGAGAGCCAATTCTGGAAAACAACCTAACTTCTTTGATTGAATACACACATAATGCTTTGGAACATGATAGGAGATTAAGGTATAATAACATATTTTAAAAGCATATAATTTTATATATTTGCAATGTAATTGGACTTGTCAAATGGTAAAATTGAAACTTTGGGGTAAACTAAAATCAGTAAATAAAGAATTAAAAGAAATTATTGTGTGTGAAGTGACCCATATTAAGTTAGCTTGCTTATTAAAACTCCAGATTTTTTAATATAGATTATATTCTCATGGTATTGTATTAAGAGCTAATTCTCTTATTTATTCCCAAGATAAGTATATATAATAACTTTTTTCCTCAAGAATATTATTACAGTGTGTATAATAATTAAATTGTAGTAGACTTTTCTTATAAAATGGAGGGTTTAAGTCAAATGAAATTTGGTGTTTGGCTTTTTTAACAGGTAGAGAGAGCGTTTTAGATAAGATTAATGAGAATATTTTAAATAAGAGAATTTAAAATTTCCAAGTACTATCCTAATCAAAAGTAGCAATTTGGCTGAAACTGAAAAACTCACTTTCTTAAGCAGAAGCTAGTATCTTACTCATAGATACTCTGATTATTAGGTGTTCATATAAAAAGTTGCAACCTCTTTAATAAAATTGTAGAATACCTAAACCTCCAATGACTTTTGTCTTAACCTCCAAAATACTTTATCCCAGAACCATTTTTCTGGCATATTTATTTTCTTTGATTTTTACAGCATTAGTTGAAAAATTCATATAGTATTTAGCTAATGCAATTTTGTTATCTAAATTGTAACCTGGTATAGTGAAAATGAACTTACTGAACAGTTTTACTAAGTATTACTTGGTTAGTTCTTTTATGTATATATTTAATGCTATTTGCTAAATAGTTACTAAAATACAACATACTACAATTTTTCTTAAAATTTTTTCATGTAAAAAGTATTTACTTTATACACTTCAGATACAAGAAATCCCAAAAGTTTGTTTTTATAAGAAAAAGTAATTTGGTCTTAGAGTAAGTTAATTATGATTATGATCATAGAACTGCTTCAAATTTAAACAGTAAAAATTTTAAAACATTCTCTGATGTGTTTAAGAATGTTTGAACATTGTAATACTTATCAAAATACCAAAAACTGAAATTTGATTTTTTTGTATTATTAGATGTTAGAAAATTCAGGAATGTGAATATTAACAGAATAAATAAAATGTTACATTTTAATAGAAATCAGTTTAGAAGTTCTGGTACTTTTATATTGGTGGCATCATACTGTAAAGTGGTTGTTGGAGATAAATAAATAAGAAATAAAGAATGTCTTCATACCTTTGGTTTTAGAATATTATAAAGAAGCAGTTTATTTTTAATTGGACAAATAGAAATAAAATTTTCCCATCTCACTTAACCAGTGTTTTCCAGGTTAGAGAGAATAAAGATGAAACTGAAAAATATGTTTATCTGAGTATTTGAAAAAGATACCAGTTTAATTTGTCATTTTCAATCCATTATATTTGACATGGCTTTAATGAGTTTCAGGAAAAGCCAACAGTATATGAGTTTGTGTTGTAAATAAAGATATAAATCACAGAGCTGTTCCTAATTTAGAGAATTTAAATTGTGATCTTTAAAAGTGTCAGAACTTATTATTTGGACACAACAATTTAGCATCATCATTATTTTTTCTACAGTTACATACTCTGTCTTATAAACTAATAAGCTTTTTAAACAATATAATATTAAAAGCATCAATGTAGATATTAATCGTTTTATTATATTTGGTTACTTTTCACAGGGTAAGGAACTTTAACCTAATTAGTAGTATGTGTTACTTTAGAAGGCAGTTAATAAAAATTGGCTTTTACTCTTATGTGTGATTGAGTCTCTCCTAACCACCCCTTTAAAACTTGGACTGTTGTGATTTGGCAAATCTGATTATCTAATTAAGCTTAGATGTAGTTCATTATGTCAGAATTTGGGTGAAGAAATTTATGGTGTTAATTTTTTTTTTTTCAGTGATAGACTTATATCTTATTTGTACAATATTTATTTAAATTTTTGGTTAAATGCCTAAGGAATTTAAATAAAATTCACTTTCAATAAAAATTCTTCATTCTTCATTTCTGTCTTACTGAAAAAGTTTTTTTAGAATATTTGAATAAACTAGATGTAATTTAACATTTCTACAGATGACGGAACTTGGAATTATTCATTATTTGTGATGTATAAATATAAAATATTTTAAGCAATTTGTCAATTACGATATTTTTCTTTGATAAAGGTTTTAGAATGTTGCTGAGGATTTGTGAAATAATAGATATAACTACTTTTTTTAGTTTAAAATTTTTTAAATGCTTATTGAACCAATTTTGTATGTATTTTTGTGTGGTTTTGCAAATAACACCCGTAACCTATTTCTATTGTTTGTCTTCAAATAAGACTTAATGTATCAAAATTAATATTTTCATATCAGCATTTTTCAAAAGGAAACATTTAATTAATGTGAGGGTTTTAAATTTTTATTCAATATCATGTTGAGGTAGAATTTCTGTTCCCATCACTACAAACCACATTTTTAAAATTACATTAGCATATTATTAAAGTTGGTTTTACTTTCTTATTTTTGTGGTTAGAATCACTTGGAGGAAAAACTTGCAGTATCTTTCATATGCGCTTTCTGAAAATAACTCATTTCCATTTTTAAATAAATTTTAAGAAACTCTTTAGTTTTTGTTAGTTTTTTCTATTGACAACTTTTCACACTAAATAAATATATGCAGTTTTCTTGTTAGACTGTCATCTTCAGAAATATTTGTTTTTACCATTAACAATATTTCTTACTGAGCCAAGCAGAAAAAAATACTTTTCAATTGTGATAAAAATGAAAGGTTGAAGTTGGCTGTTGTTTTTTACAAAATATCTGAATTTAAAACATTGCTGTTCATACTTTTTTATTATTTAAATTTGCCGGCCAATTCTGTATAGATTTGTTTGTTTTATAATATTGTCTAGATTTTTTTGACTTTATATTTTTCTGAATTAAAAATTGCTTACGGTACTAAAAGATGACTCTCATTTAAACTTAAGTTTATATATAGGTCTATAAGTAGCATATTGTATTTAAAGGTAATTTAACAGAATAAATATTTCTATTTCTGTTTTTCATTATTTGTTGCTATGTACTTACCAAGTTTTTAGTTCTATATTACCCATTTGAAGTAGGTAAATTGCTTGTGGAAATTTTTTTTTAATTGTTGGGAATTTTTGTTAAATCTTTATGGCTAAACTTATTCTTTGCTAATATTGTCTAAAGTCAAACATATGGTGGTGATTAGATATGTGGTACCTAGAAGGGAGCTAGCGGCATTTTATAAGCAAAATATAATTTCATTTCTTGATTGAAGTTTGAACACTTTATTTCCTAGGGAATAGTTAGGGAGGAGTGTACTCTCTTTATGCATTCACCCTGACAAATGGCTAAAAACTCTTTCAGAGAATTTGTTAATTGAGCAGTTAAATCTAAACTAAGGAGCTGAATATTATTTACTTTTTTTCCCTAGATATTATAAATTCTCTTTCTAACCAAAACATGAATTTTGTCTTTTCTTCACTTTCTATCTCTTTTTAAGGAAAAAAATATATTTCTTAAAAAATAATTTGTCTAGTGCTATAAGCAAACTTGGTAAGTAGGTTTAGCCTGAACCAGTTTTTTTTTTTTTCTCTGTATTAGTTGCAGGCAATTTTGTCAACTTGCTGCTTAAGCAGCAGAAGCAGCAACAGTGAACAAACAAGTATTACTACCACATCCCTTGTTCTTGTCCGTTCCAGCTGGGAGCAAGGGCTAGGAGATTGCTGCTGCCTGTCAGCTGTTCTACAGAATAGCATCAATATGCAGAAATGATCGTCATAGAAGCCTGCGCCCATCAGTTTTTACAGGCCAGGTGGAAGGACACAACTGTTTCTGTACCCATATATAATTTGTAGAATATATTCTTTGACAGAAAGATATTTTCTTCCCAATAAAGAGAAGATGCTATAGTTCTTAGGCTATTATTTTTTACTATTTACTTTGTGGGTTTAGTTCATTTTGTTTTAATTTAGATAATTTCATTTGTTTAGAATGGAATACTGACTTCCAGAAGTATATATAGTATGTTTCATGGTTTTCACTTTTTAACTGATATTCTGGAAAAAAATAATAATTACTTGCTGATACCACAAGTTAGGAAAAAGAAAGGAAAGTTGACTATGGCACACAAGAGTGTATCTTTCACTTTGGGGCCATATTCTGAGCCTGTATTGTCTTTGTTTTATAGCGTACTCTAAACAAGGTTAAATTCTTATTGATTTTGCTATAATTTTAAAAAATCCTATATTACTTAATGTTGTAAATAACTAGATACAAGGCAGACCACAGGTGAAAACTTGTCTCATTTTTTTCTCATTCATTATTAAATTTTTCTATTTCTATTACAAGGTTTGCTATGTCTCATTATTACAATAATGCCATGCCATATTCTAAATCTTTTTTATTAAATCTAAATTTAATTTCAAATAATATAAAAAGGTGTTCTCAATTTTACAATTTGAATTTATACAAAGTCAAACCTTCCTTAACCTAAATATTAAAATATTTTTTCCTTTTTTATATCTAAATGGTTCCAATAGATTTTAGTTGCAAGAAAATAAATATTGGCCTTCTATTAAGGTTCTGATTTCACTTGTTAAATTGTTGGTAGGAAACTACAGGTAATATTTTGTCTTAGTGTAAAAGCCTAATGTCTCAATTTGAAGCCTGCCATGTGCAATAGAATTATTTTTTAAAAGTAACCATAATTTCTTCCTGGTCATCTTCATTAAAATCATTCCTGATCAGGGGCTGGGGCTGGGGCTAGGGCTAGGGCTCATAGTAGAGCGCTGGACTAACATGTGGGAGGCGCTGGGTTTAAGCCTCAGCACCACATAACAATAAATAAAATAAAGGTTTTTTTTTTTTTTTAAATCATACCTGATCATACCCACTCTTAATGTTTTTTTTTTTTTTTTGCCAATAATAGTAAACTCAGAATATTATTTCTCTGGTATTAGTACCAAAAAACTTGTGTCAGGATGTGCTTATTTAACTGAAATAATTAATGAGCTCACAGTCTATTCTGGCACTGTGAAGTCAAGCATATTCAACCATAAATTGAGATTTTCTCTTTTTTTCCCCCCTGAGTTAGTGCTAGAGTAGCTTTTTTAAAATATGTCTATGTAACAGAGAACATATTAGTTACTATTGCCTACTTTTCACCAAAAAGTGAGTTATGTAATCCTTTATTTTGAAATACACCCTTTTTTTCCCCATTAGTTATAACTTAATGTGTGTGAACCACCTGTACCAGAATAACTTGAAATAAAGCATTTTTCCAGACCTGCTATATCAGAACCTCTGGCAGAAGGGCTCAGGAATTTGTGGGTTTTACAAGCTTAAAGAGAGCTTTTTCTTCTTTTTAGGAGTATTACATGAGAAACACTTCCTGAAATGAAAGGGGGGGGGACTATCCACACCAATAAACCATTTACTTCTCTTGCATTTTTTCCTCTTTGGTCATTTTGGATCTGACTAAACTCAGTATTTAATTAATAATCATTTTTGTAACAATAGAATACTATTGTTATTGGTATTTCCTCAATCATGAGGAAAAACGCATTATCCGAGCTTTATTTTTTACAAGTGCCTCTGGCCAAATTTTAGTCTATTATATTTGGAATTTTTAGTATTTTTATGTAAGATATATATTAGATGAAGGAATTGATCACATAAGAATTTTTTAAATATTCATATAGATAGTAGCTGTTTTTCTTAAATGTACTGTCAAGTGTTGTAAATATATGAAAAAGAGAACTTTTCATATGCTATTGTGGAAGAATTTAATTATAGTAAAGTTTAAAATACAGTAGACTTGAACTCAATACGTTCCTAGATGCTCTAGATAAACTCAGACATATGGAAAAAGAAGAATCTTATTTATGTTTTATAGGAAAAAAATTTTTGAAACCAGTAAAAATACTAAGCAACTAGAGAATGGTAATTTATGACACAGTCTCATGGTGAAATATATAGCTATTAAAATGAGAGCTATGTGTATCATCATGGATAACCTTCTTACACAAACAAAAACTACTTTATGGAGAAGTTATATTCGCTTTAACATTATTGATTGGTGCTAACCAATAAAAGATCAGACGTCCATATGACACCATATATATAAGCTTTTAAGGAGCAGAATTTGTAGTAATAGTACAAAAACATGCATAGGAGATACATCAAAATTAAGTTGGGCAGACATAGTGGCGCACACCTGTAATCCCAGCAGTTTTCAAGTTCAAAGCCAGCCTCAGCAAAGACGAGGTGCTAACCAACTCGGTGAGACCCTATTGCTAAATAAAATACAAAATAGGGCTGGTGATGTGGCTCAGTGGTAGAGGGCCCTTGAGTTCAATCCCCAGTACAAAAAAAAAAAAAAAAAAAATCAAGTAGGGGTTACATCTTAGGAAACAATGGCAAGTAAAGACACCATGGAAACAATTTCTTCTTATCATTACCCTTTCATTTACTCTTTGATCTAGGCAATTTCACAACTGTATTTTCTTTAGTTTTACCCATAGCATCATAATATATTTTCAGTTTCCAGCTTACTTAAATAGAGTATAAATACAAAACTGGAAAGTTTTGTATTTATACTCTGTTTATATATTACATAACAATATAATTCTTGAATTGGCAATATATAGACTGTAGATTTTGCAAATGTGTGTGTGAAATCTCAGGATATGATCGTGCATTAACTTAGAATACCTGCAATTATATGACGTCCTCCAGAAGCTAATCATGCTCTAAGTTAGACTTTGACTTTTAAACTTCTAAAAGGTAAAGTAATAGAAAAGCAAATTTTAAAAACTAATTACAGTGCATGGGATTGAAATAGAGAAATGTTGCTACTGGGTATTTATAATCTGATTTTTCTCTGATATAAGAAGATCAGAAAACAATGACTGTTAACCTCATTAAGTGTTCAGAAAACAATGACTGTCAACAATGTCAGTTAAATGTTCTAATTTCTGTGGTCAAATTTTTAAAGTTTACTCTTATTTTTTCCCTAGGTTTAATAATGACAAAATGAAGACCACAATAAAACAGCCCCCTACTAGCCCAGGAATTCTTACTTTGTGAGTATTAATTCTGAGCCCATGTACCATTGCTATAAAAGTTAGTTTGGTATTATATTTAGGTTTGTTTCTGATCCTTTTTTTCTATTCATCCTAGAATGTTTACTTTTTATTCTCCCCCTTAGTCCTCTACACATTAAGGTTTGATGTTAGTTTAATATAATTTGGAGCAAGGATAATGCTGTTGCCTTGGGTAAATTTTCTGTCATCTCTGAGAGTCACAATTAAAATCTTTTCCCTTCAAAGGAATTTACAAATAAGTAGTGTTTGGTTTTTTAATAACTTTATTTTATATATTTATTTTTATGTGGTGCTGAGGATCAACCCCCAGTGCCTCACATGTGCTAGGCAAGCGCTGTACCACTGAGTCACAATCCCAGCCTTAAGTAGTGGTCTTTTTTATTGTCATTATCCAGGTTTATTGATCTTATGATTTTATAAATTGAGAGAATAGCCTCTTCACTTGAAATTTTTTAAAATTTGTTCTTATATTGCATTCAATTATACTTGAGACTTTTTTGTTAGGAGCTTTACATTTTGCTATTAAAACTTCAGGAAGGAGTAAACACCAGAAGGCAATCCCTTTTTCTTCCTTTCATATATGCATTTGCAGTCCTCTTTCTTAGAATAAGAAACATTTTTCTCCTGATTCATTTAATTTTTGAGAATTTATAAATTTTATAATTCTAACAGGCTAGCTAAAATCATATATCTAGAAAAACTCATAGATCAAAGTCATGTTAAATACACAGATGCTTACTTCCTAAGAGTATTTCATACCCTAAAATGAGTTACCAGAAAGATTCATTTCTATCCATTCCTTGAGCTAACTCTATCTCTAAAAAAATCTTAAACTGTTTCTGTTCTTGTTCCTGATGGTGTTGAGACATGGCCTTTTTAAATGAAAACTAGTGCTTCAGATGCTTCCCTTACATTATCTTACACATTGCATTGGTGGCTCAGATCACATGTTTGTTGTAGTAATAGTACAAAAACATGCATAAATGGTCATAAAAGATTGGCCATTCTACTCATAAGTAGTAGAGTTCTTGGGGGAGAAAGGGTCATTTAAATATGAAAATAGTTAATAATAGGCTAGTTTGCAAAGGTAGCCAAATGCCATAGGTCATTTTCTTTTCTAATTTTTTTCCCTTCATATTTTTATGCTCTCTGGAAAATTAGAATGGAAATATTCGCAAATCCCTAAAGAATTCTGTGTAAGCCAGTCTTGGGTTCATTAATTGATCCCTTAGAAGCCAGTATAGCCTTTCTTCAACTTACCTCTTAGAAAAAGAAATATTTTTCATTGATATTGCGCTTATACTGTAGACTGGAGAAGAGTCCACTTTTCAAAAAGAGAAAAGCTGAATACAGTGGCACATACCTGTAATTCTAACAACTCATGAGTCTAAGGCAGGAGGATCACAAATTCAAGGCCAGCCTTAGCAACTTAGCAAGACCCTCAACAATTTAGCAAAACCCTGTCTCAAAAAATAAAAGTACTGCAAATATAGCTGTTGCAAAGCACCTCTGAATTCAATTTCCAGAATAAAAAAGAAAGAGGTATCATTTATCTTCTTGACTGACTTATAAGCACAGATGTCATATACTTTTTTTAAAAAATATTTTTTTAGTTATAGATGCACACAATATCTTTATTTTATTTATTCTTATGTGGTGCTGAGGATCAAACCCAGTGCCTCACGCATGCAAGGCAAGCACTCTACCACTGAGCCACAGACCCAGCCCCCAGATGTCATTTTTTAACCCCATTTCATCTCCTTTATAAATTTCTAAGCAAGCGGCCTGATTTAGCTCTTCTCCAGCATTTTTAATATGTCATTTGCAATATTCATCATTGGAATGCTTTCTCTTGGTGTTCTAGGTAGTATTCCTGGAATTCCACTAAATCATAGATTCTAAAATGATAATTTTCCAATTAAATAATATCCAGAAAAATAGGTCTATAATGATCATATGTTAAGTGTGTTTGTCCCCATTTCTCTTTTAGTGTTTATTTTAATGGCATAGTTGCTTTTAGAGAGTGATTTTTTTTTTAATATTTATTTTTTAGTTGTAGTTAGAAACAATACCTTTATTTATTTATTTTTTTGTGGTACTGAGGATCGAACTCAGTGCACGCACGTGCTAGGCAAGCATTCTACCACTAAGCCACAACCCTAGCCCTAGAGAGTGATTTTTATAAATGAATGATTTTTATTTATTTGTGAAATTTGTGCCCAAAAAATGTGGCATAGTAGCATTCATATATTAAATACTGTCATAATTAAATAATGATAATATATTGGATTCATTTTTTCCAAATTAAGTAAAGAGATGGAATATTTTTCAAGTTTGATTTTGGATGAAAGATTTAAAATTTTGATGGCTAACCAAAAACTCAGAAATAGTTTTACCTTTTCTTTTTCTTCACTTTTTCCATTTTGAACTATTTTTATTCTTTATATTGCATTTTTGGATACATAAATCTTAAAAAATAAAAAAAAAGATCTTAAAAGACATTGACTTTCATAAATAGGGAAACTGGAGATAAAGCAGAAAATCCACCAATCCACCATTCAATGTCATCATTGTTGGTAGTTCTATAAAGTACTAAGGATAAAGAAAAAGTACTTCCTAATTCAGGAAACATTAAATGTGCCTGCTCTCAAAAGCTATCTTAGTAAAAAGTGACAACTATTTCCCATGTAGGAAAATAGATAAGGTTTAGAAATGTTATTAAGTTAGCAATAAAACATTAACATGTCATTAAAGCAGTCTAGAAAATACTATCAGTGGTTGAATTATATGTAGTATAAATGTAATAAGACTGACTGGAAGTATTGAAAAAAAAAATCAGAATGTTTTTATCAGTGGGGCAGTAAGTAATTGATGGTAGGGTAAATGATATAAAATCTGTTTTTCTTTCAATACAAATTTAATATAATTATCATTACTAGACAACTGGAAATCTGTTTTTTTAAATATTTATTTTTTTAGTTGTAGTTGGACACAATATCTTTATTTTATTTATTTATTATTATGTGATGCTGAAGATTGAACCCAGGGCCTCACATGTGCTAGGCAAGCGCTCTACTGCTGAGCCATAATCCTAGCCCCTGGAAATCTTATTTTTAATTCATTTGTGTAGGAAATTTAGTCTTATATAAATCACTGTCTGCATCACTCATGAGGAAATTTAATTATCGTGAATAATTTTTGTTTTAAGTGGGAATGTTTTCTGGGAGAAAGGTATGTGCCAAAAAGAAAAAAATAAATTGCTTATTTGGCAGTTAGATTAGTGGTGAAGGGTATTCAGAAGGATACCAGCTAATATCAGCATTTGGTAAAGAGGATGTCATATAAACCTGATAAGATTAATTACTTTTAATTTAGTAAATACATACAGGTCCTTAAAGTTTAATATTGTTCTCTAATTTATGATCATAGGAAAAGTTTACAGTATGCCCTGTTTCTCATTGTTCTAATAACTGCTGTTTTTAGGAATTAGTTCTTAATCAAATATCATGTGTTCTTTGTCCTCAAAACCTTATACATTTGACATGTATATGTTTAGCAGAATGATTGAGTTAAATCTGAGCTTTTTGGTTTAAATCATAGCTATATTTCTGCTTTAAGCAAAATCAGAGCCATAAAATTTTGATTTTAGTGTAAAAATGATGAACTCTTTGTTTTCCCACCATGAACAATTTCTCAGTTTCTATATGAATTCAAAAAAAAGTAATAGGGAATTTCTTATTTATGAAGTTATTTTGGATGTTTTCTTAGGAAAACTAAACAAGGCAGAATTTTATACCATAGAACTGATTTAAATAGAAACTTACATATGCAAATATAATAAACTCTAGTGAATAGGGATTTCAAGCTTTGTGCATACATACAGTAAGTCACCTGGACATTTGATGTAAACTTGCCCTTACCTACTATTCTAAAACTTGAGTTTTTAAATTTATCTCCATGTATAAAAGAGAAATAAATTGATCAAGGAATTTAAATATATATTCACGTTTTAGAGGCCTGACTTGGCCTAAATTATCAGTTTCACTCTTCCTTTTATCTTCAGCAAATAAATTTATGCTTATTTTGGTTATTAAAACAAGTTTCTTTTTTGAAATATTTAATAGTATTCACTATAAAGAATGCCATGATTTTCCAGTGACTAGTCAAATTACCACTAGTCAAATTTTAGAATCTACATTTAAAAGTTTAGGAGAACATTAATATCAAAGAATATCTGGATTTCAATTTATTAATTTTTTTTTCCTTCAGTTTTTCATATCCTTAGGCTGGCTATTCAAGTTGATTCTTTATGCCACTGGTATTTGGTGCCTCACTATTTAGAATTTTAAATTGGCAGTTTACCCTGCAAATCTTTAATAGGACAACTTAATAAAGTTCTTATGATGTGGAAATGTTACCCAAAGACCCCAATGTTAAATGAAGAATTGATGGCAAGCCTGGCACTGTTGGGAAATGATTGAACCTTTAAGAGGTGGGCCTATTAGAGAAAGCTGTGTTATTGGGGGCATGCCTTTCAAGAGACTATTACAACCCTGATGCCTTCCTGTCTCCCTGAGTGCTTTTTGGCCACTATGAGGTGACAGGCTTCCTCTTCCACATGTTCCCCCATGATATACTGTGCTTCTGTAGAGCCAACAGACCATGGATGGAAACCGTTAAAAAAAATTTTTTTTTCCTTTAAGTCTTAGGTATTTCATCATGGTAACAGAAAGCTAAATAACGCAAAAATAAACTGAAATTTTCTGAAAGTCAAATTTTTTGTGTGGTGCTGGGGATCGAACCCAGGGCCGTGTGCATACAAGGCAAGCACTGTACCAACTGAGCTGTATCTCCAACCCCTAACAGTCAATTTTACTCTAAATAGATCTTATTTTTAGCCATGAAATATTAAGAAAGCCATTATCTTTTATTTTTATATTTATTTATTAATTTATTTTTTTAGTTGTCAATGGCCTTTG